CCCGCATTTTCCTGCCTGTGTGACCGGGGCCATTGTTAGTGACTAAGCAGGACAGCATGTACCTTCATAGAGGTAGCAGATGCTATGTATTACAAAGCCCCAGCATCTCCCAACCAGGAACAGACTATCTCTTCCTTGAATCGGCACATTAGAATGAAGAGATGCAAGAACTTACCTGGACAAAGATCGTGGGGAGAGAAAGCTCAGAGATTTCATGGCATAATCCATTATTGCAAGCAATCTTTCCAACCTATGCAAGGCACCGATAGGAGAGTAGAAGGCACTTAGTTTTCTTCCTTGATTGCTTTTGAGACTAAGCACTACAAAGTCAGAATGTTTTATGATAGTGGAGCCCCAGTATTTGGGCATCAGATTGTTCTACCATACTGAACATATGCTTGGATTCAGAGCCTCTTTTTCTCAGCTTACAGATAAAGACAAGTTTTGAAACAAGGAGTGCCCCAGGTTTCAGTTGTGTGTTGCACCTATCAAACTCTGCCTATTTGCTCAGAAGTAAGCCCTACTGAATACAGTGGCGCTTACTTCCAGGTAAGTACACCTTGGATGGTAGCTGCCTTAAGAGGCTACAAGCATCTTGGTTTAATACAATACATATCTTAATGCATTGAACTCAATGAACTCAAGCAGGTTATTGACAAGGGCACATCCTGGAGCCTGTGTGACTTCTTTTGCCACCAAGTCCCTTTTAACATGTTCAGAAATACAAGGCACAACCCAGGGAGACTTGTACAGCCAGCACAAAGTCATACAGAGCCCTGATACACAAAAGCACAGCTTATATTTATTTATTTAAATTTTTTTATGCTGCCTTTGTACCCAATCGGGGTCCAGAAGGTGGCTAACATTAAAACACACTTAAGACAATTACAAGTACTGTTAAAGTTATAGAATAATTCAATTAAAACACATAAACAAGCAATACTAGTGGACCAATAACCATTAGGGTTGCCAGTTTGGGGTAGGAAAATACCTGGAGATCTTGGGGGTGGATCCGGGAGAAGGTGGGGTTTGGGGAGGGGAGGGGCCTCAGCATGGTGCAATGCCATAGAGCACCCTCCAAAGCAGCCATTTTCTCCAGGGGAGCTGATCTCTGTTATCTGGGGTTCAGTTGTAAAACCAGGAGAACTCCAGGCCCCACCTGGAGGCTGGCAACCCTAGTAACCATTATTGGGGGCATGCCAGAGGAACAAAAGTTTTCACCTACTACTGGCAAAAGACACCGATAGAGGGAGACGGGTGAATTTCCCTGGGGAGCAAGTTCTAAAGGCTGCCACCCATCTAGCATCCAATGGCAGGGGCAATTTAAATAGGGCCTCCAAAGATGACTGGAGTGTGTAGGTAGGTTCATACAGGAAGAGGCGATCCTTAGGGCATTTTGGTCTCGGGACATACAGTGCTTTAAAGGTTAATACCAGCACCTTGAATTGAATCCAGAAGCAAACTAGAAGCCAGTGTAGATGGAACAAGACTGTAGAGATATGGTCCCTACAACACACTCCAGTCAACAGTCCAGACACAGCATTCTGTACCAACTGTAGCTTCCAGACATCGTAGTAATCCCATCTAGCTGTTACTAGGGTAGGGACCATAGCTGCAAGACTTTTTCTACCTAGGAAGCACCACAGCTATAGAGACACACAACTATAAAACAGAAGCTACTACAGAGAGACGGTTTGACCCAAGTTATTTTAGTGGGTTGTAAGAATCAAGAGAATTAGCTACATAACGACTTGCCAAGCTCAGTATTTAAATCATCTGCCCCTGTCTTAACACCTGTGCTTCCTTGAACAATTCAGAACTGATTCTATCCACCTAAATCCCAGGACCTCTCTCTTTACTACATCCTTTATATCATCCAGATTTCAGAATCCCTATAACAAAAGCCTCCGCTTACCCCAATCAACAGCTCTCCATACTTACCACTCAAAACCTCTGAGCCCCTCTGCCGACCCTCATCTGTGCACCTGGCTCAATGTATATGCTGGGCAAGCCCCTCCTATCATTTCCTAATAGCCAATCACATCCCCATAGGTAGCTGGGCATTAAAAGTAAATTTGGACATAGCTAAATTCTGGGATGGTTCTGCCTGGCTTCTTCTAAACTGGGTGCAACTGAAGGTTGCCAACAGGCCTGGAGAAAAAAAAAGTCCTGTCCCTTTAATATATGTAGAACCAGAGAATCACAGAATTGGAAGGGGCCATACAGGCCATCTAGTCGAACCTCCTGCTCAATGCAAGATCAGCCTAGAGCATCCCTGACAAGTGTTTGTCCAGCCGCTGTTTGTCCAGACTGCCATAAACATATGTTTGTTGTAAAAAATGTGCTGTTGAAGCTTTTTTGATATGCAACTAAATAATAACACCCTGCAGATAACTGATATTAGAAGGACAGCTAGAGAGACTAGTTTAAAATCTGGCAACTTGAGGTGCAACTAAGTTGGAGTGGTCAAAATATGCAGCTTGAGACCTCTCCACATTTACTCAGAAGTCGGTCCCACTCAATTCAATGGCCTATGTTAATAAAACAACTATCCTGTCTGGTCTCACTTGGGATTAAGTCAGAATAACTCAGTTAAACTTTCTTCATTGTAATCATGCATTGGGCCAGACTAGAAATACAGGGAGCACTCCAGTTATGTCAATTTATACTCATGAGTATGTTCCATTATGTTCAGTGGGAGCTGCTTACCAGTAAATGTGCACAAGACTTCAGCCTTATCGGATTTCTGGGCTTGGAGATGCTTTCTGTCACTGCTCAGGTAATTATTTAGTGGTACGTATCACCAGCCCACATGGAGTCGGTTTAAGAACAGTGAATTTCACAAGCGAATCTTCCCCAGCAGTTGTAGCAGTATGACAGGGAAAGCTGTACCTCTGCCAGAGTTCTCCCATACATTTGACAATTAAAACAACAGAACTCATGTCCCCGGCAGGATTGGGTGACTTTACATTCTTTCCTTTCCCCCTCTTTAACCAAAGCCATTACTGTTGTAGGAAGAAAACCCGTGAAAAGCAGTGAAATATATATAGGTTAGACCAAACCATTCAAGAGAGTTAAATCGAAAGCAAACTGTAATGGCTTCCAAAGGGGTCTCAAGAGACTAGGAGAGCGGGAAATGATACAGCCAATAAAATTCAGTGCTGGCTGGTGCAAAGTGTTGTACTCCTGGGAGGAAGGCGAAACAGCCTTAGCGACACCCACCATCCACCGGGGTCTGCATTCACTACCTCCGATTGAAAATTCATTTTGAACATTAGCTGGTCATTAAAGGCATCTCCTTGCTTACTCTGAATTTAGTAGGTGGAAATAACAAATTGCAAGGAGAGGAAAGGGGACAAACAGTCCTCCCACCCATCTTTCTTGCCTTCCCGTACCATTCTCCTCTGCCACATCCTACTTGCCCATTCATCGCCAAATCAGTTTCCTGCTTTAATATTATTATTTTTTTAAGGAAGAGGTTGCTTGCTACGTGTTTCGGCTGCACAGATATGCTTAGCAGCTCGGGCTCAAGGCCTGCTGAAACCAACAGGGTTGCTGAGTAGGAGTTTGAGAAGCTGGGACAAGGAGGGTTTTTGCCAGCTCTTTTGAAGCGCTCCCTCGGGCTGTCCCTTTAATATTAGTTCAATCGGCAAGCCCATTATCAGGTGATGTCATTTAGCTCCATGGCATGAAAAGCTTCAGCTGCTCATTTCTGCACATTAAACTTTGATTAAAGGGACAGGACTTCTCCCCACACACACACACACACTGGCAACCCTCACAGGGCCACAAGGAGGGTTTGTCAGGCCCAGAGACATAAGGAAACCTGTCTGTGGCCAAGCTGAGGGTGCACAGCCACAAGGCAACTTCAGTAGAGTTGCCAGATCCAGGTTGAGAAACTCCTTGAGAGGGGATAGAGCCTGGACAGTACAGGGACCTCAGTGGGGTCCAGTGCCATAGAGTCTTCCCTCTAAAACATCCACTTTCTCCAGAGGAACTGACCTCCAGAGCCTGGAGATAAGCTGTAATTCCAGAAGATCCCCAGGTCCCACCTGGAGGCTGGCATCCCTAACTTCGTGGGATGACATGAACTCAGCAGTTTGGCTGTTAAGCAGCTGGTAGGAGTCGCCTGATATGCCCCCCCCCCCCCCCGTTCCATTCAAAATCTCTTTGATTCCCACTCCCAAGACTCAAGAAGAAAGGGGGCACCCAAAAAATATGTCAGCAGTGCCACCCTGGGAACTATATTTATTTACTTATTATTCACATTTCTATCCCGCCCTCCCCGGAGGCTCAGGGCGGCTAACAGGGCGTATCGCCAAATAAAACAGAAAAACAGTACAAAATATTAAAAATACATCACCATTAAAACAATGTTGGTGCTCCTCTCAGCTAATTTCCAATTTCCAAATTACACTCCATGCGATATGGAGCACTTCATGGCTCCATTTCCTGTGGGTGATAGAGCACTGGAGACTTACAGTGTCTTGTTTTATTTCTAAAACTACAAGCAGAGATGAAGAAGGCCTGCTGCAGGTGTCCTGACCGGGATAGCCCAGACAAGCCCGATCTCGTCAGATCTCGGAAGCTAAGCAGGGCTGACTCTGGCAAGTACTTGGAAGGGAGACCTCCAAGGAATACTGGGGCTCAGAACGCAGAGGCAGGCAATCGTAAGCCACCTCTCTGAAAAGTCCAGGCCCCCAGCAGGGGTCGCCAGAAGTCAACCATGACAACCAAGCACACAAAACACATACGAAGAAGACCTACTGAAGGCAGCAAATCCACTGATGCAGCAGCAGTTTCCCAAGAGCAGCTGACCCAAGACCCAAGAGAGACTCCTATTTGAGGGACTCCAGCAAAGCTCTCTATTTCCTATGTGCACCATCCTGCAAAAGTGCTCGTGAGGACAGACATGCGATCTCTTCTCCATTCCATCCTCACAACAACCCTGTGAGGTAGGCTAGGCTGACAGTCAGTGACTGGCCTAAGGCTACCCAGTGATGTTTATAGTTAAAGGAGAACTTGAACCCAGCTCTGGTTTGACACACTGACCACTATGCCATACTGTTCGCTCCCTCGTCTCCAGATTCAAAACTATCAAACTGCTGCAATTTCCCCACCCCAGCATGTGCAGAGTATATATTATTCCCCTTTGCTGATGAATCACCTGTTCAGGAAGTCAGCCTCTGGCATTAAGGAACATTAATGTTCCTTTGGCAACCCCCTGA